AACCAGTAAGGAAAGTAGTAAAGTCGGACGGGGCCGACTATATGATACCCTTCACCACTATGGGTATATTAAACAGGACTATTAACATGAAATTGGATGAAATAATATATGTGATAATGTGAATCTAACTGGATATATCCATAAAGTATGTAAATCGACTTCAAACAAATATAAATAGGTCATACGTTGGGCTATGTCTGCACTTCTAGAAAACGCAACTACGTAATTCTATGCTCAATTTTGTAAGTTGTGCAAAATTTGATGTCAATGAGGAGTTTGATGTCCAATTTATTTGAAATCGGGCGAAAATATATGTGGAAGCTCTATCCAAATATTAAGCGATTTCAAGAAAACTTGTCACAGGTTAGGTTATACTAATTTCAGAACGTTTTGTTCCTATTGGTTCCTTGTTGCGTCAATTACTTAAAATATGTGAGCTATATATGTGGGAGCTATTTAGAAATCTGGACCGATTTTCTCGAAACTTGGCAGAATCACTCTAGGCTCAATTCAGTACGTTATGCCAAATTTCGTGCAAATCGACAGATATATAGGGACTTTGGGGCACCATTTACATGAAATCGGACGAAACTATATATGGGAGCTATATCTTAATCTGGACCGATTTTCTCGAAACTTGGCAGACATCATCCTAGACCTAAATGATTAGGCTGTACCAAATATCGTACAAATCGAAAGATATATAGGGACTTTGGGGCACCATATACATGAAATCGGACAAAACTATATATGGGAGCTAAATCTGGACCGATTTTCTCGAAACTTGTCAGACATCACTCTAGGCTCAATTCAGTACGTTATGCCAAATTTCGTGCAAATCGAAAGATATATAGGGACTTTGGGGCACCATTTACATGAAATCGGACGAAACTATATATGGGAGCTATATCTAAATCTGGACCGATTTTCTCGAAACTTGGCAGACATCAATCTAGGCTTAGTTCAGTACGTTGTGCCGAATTTCGTGCAAATCAAAAGGTATATAGGGACTTTGGGGCACCATTTACATGAAATCGGACGAAACTATATATGGGAGCTATATCTAAATCTGGACCGATTTTCACGAAACTTGGCAGACATCAATCTAGACCTAAATGATTAGGCTGTACCAAATTTCGTGCAAATCGAAGGATATATAGGGACTTTGGTGCACAATTTACATGAAATCGGACGAAACTATATATGGGAGCTATATCTAAATCTGGACCGATTTTCTCGAAACTTGGCAGACATCACTCTAGGCTCAATTCAGTACGTTATGCCAAATTTCCTGCAAAACGAAAGATATATAGGGACTTTGGGGCACCATTTACATGAAATCGGACGAAACTATATATGGGAGCTATATCTAAATCTGGACCGATTTTCATGAAACTTGGCAGACATCATTCCAGACCTAAATGATTAGCCTGTACCAAATTTCGTGCAAATCGAAAGATATATAGGGACCGTTTACATTAAATCGGTTAAATATATATATGGGAGCTATATCTAAATCTGAACCGATTTTTCCCAATTTCAATAGGGTTCGTCCTTGGGCCGAATAAGTGACCTATGCCAAATTTCATCCAATTCGGATCATAAATGCGACCTGTACATTGTTTACAATTTAACACCAACAGACGGACAGACGGACGGACGGACGGACATGCATAAATCGACTTAAAAAGTGATTCTATGCATATTCTCAAAAGGAACCATGTGTCTATCTCGTTTCCTTTTGTCTGTTACAAACATATGCACAAAGACATAATACCCTGTACCACAGTGTGGTGAAGGGTATAAAAAGATTTTAAGGCGCGTCGGCTTTGCGCGCAGCTCTTCCAATTTGAAAGACCGTGTTTATATATGTGCCTTTTGAACCTAGCCAACGTAATCGCTGCAGTTTGATACGTCTGACTATGTCGATGTCCGAGAATAGATGGTACAATTCATGGTTCATTCAACAGCTATATTCACAGTCGTCGCAGATCTTTCCATAGATCTTTCGTTTAATTTTTCTCTCAAACACCCCAAGAGCTGCCCTGGGCAAGGTATGGTTCAGATCCTTACAACAACACTTTTGAGTGTGATTTTGGTCTGGCGAGAGGTGACCTTGTTTTTGAATTGCTTACACAGACCATTGCAGCATCTGTTGGCCAACACTATTCTTCTTCGGATTTTAAAGCTGATGTTATTCGTTTTGTTTATGTCGGTGCCGAGGTATATAAAATCGTTCACAACCTAGAAACAGTAGTTTTGAGTTCCACAGTTCCGAGTCTAATAGACGTCTTCGTTGATACAATCAACTTGGTCTTCTCGCCATTTACTGTCAGACTCCTTCTCAATTCCTCCGTGTTAAATGGCACAAAACCGCAAAGAAAATTAATACCACTTAAAAATGTAGTCTCCAAGAGGTCCTTTCCGACTATAACTACTGCCAGTTTAAGTAATCCTGCATAGCCGCATTAATTTTGCAGGAATGTCGAACGTTTTGCGAAAGGCTTTAAACACTTCGAAGCGGATTGGGCTGTCGAATGCGGCTTTATAGTAGACGAATACGTGGAATGTGTCAATGTATTTTTCGTGGGTCTTTTCCTGAATTTTGGGGCAGTGTGGAAAATTGCAGCCAATTTACCTTAAAATGAGACTAGAATCTAAAACCCATGAAATTGCTCGCGAGAGTTATATGGAGGTTATATAGAATCATGAACATATAGTATTCTACTACCATTTCATCTGGCAGCAATTAGAAACCCTAAGTTACTGTACGAATTTTACCCTCTGATAATTTCATATGTAAAAGAACAACATCTCATGAAAAATTTGCATTGCATATTCCGATATATTGGACCTTGACAGAAGTTATATTTTATACGGACAAATTACAGCTAATTCGGAAAAGGCGAAGTAATTTCTTTGAAGATTTTTTTACTCTGTGAGAGATCATATTGAACTGGGCGCTTAAATGTCCTAATATTAAGTCGTACTAAGCGGCCTATGTCAAAATATAATGATACGGAATGTCAAATTGCAACTACTTCCGTTGGAAAGGCGGCTAGGACCTTAAAATTACCTAAATTTATTCGGTGTCTGCTCGTAGCTTTTCCAGAACCAAGCCCGAAAAATCCAACATACCTTAAATCAATGGTAATATTAAGTATTTATACCCTACACAACTATGTTGTCAGGGTATTATAGCTTTGTGCAGCCCCAAGAGTTTGTAACGCCGCGAAATATTGGTCATAGACCCACCTTTAAGTATACCGATCGTCATATCTCGACTAGCTGAGTCGATCTAGATATGTGTGTCCGTCCGTCTGTCGATTATAATTTGTAAACACAATACGGGCCACAGTTATGGACCAATCTTCAGGTGCTTACGTATTCAGATATTATTTAATAAACCATTACCCACTAGAGGGCGGATATATAGCGCTGAGGTTCCAGTTATGGTCAAGTACAAATATAATTTTCGGTGATGATCAGATAATAATTTTGGGATGAAGTGGACCGAAAACTTATTTTTTTTTTTATTTTTTCCGATCGATCTATAGGCTACAATTATAAGCCGAACATCACAACACAACCCACGGTGAAGGGAATATGTACAAGTAATTAGAAGGGCCGTACTGAATATTGGTAATATATGTAAGGAAGAGGTGCTGTTGACTTCTAATCGGACAAGAGGGTACAACTTTCACGAAATATTATAATAAAAATCCGCAGAAAGATAGTTGTGGTAGTTGTGTAGGGTATCGTATGGTCGGCCCCGCCCGACTATACTGCTCCGCTCACTGGTTTTAAACCAGAAATATTTTTGTTCGATTCCATCGCTTAAATAGCCTATGTAAAATGTTGTGTAGGTAGGTTTTGTCTTTGGTCGGTACTACACGAACATTCACTTCGAAAATTCAAATTGTCGAAATATGCATATAAACCCTATGCATATTTCGACAAATTGAATTTTCGAATATGCATAGCGTTTAGTTGAGTACTTTCATTTTGAACAATTTGTACTTGTTGTTTCGTCCAACTGGATTGGAAATATAAATAACAACTCTCGTATAGAAATGCAATATACAACAAAGAGAGAAATTTTCTCGGTTTCACCAATAACATGTTTGTTGTCCTAGAACATTCGATGCGGAGAAAATCAAAAACAAAAATACCTTTTCTTAAACAATTTATCTAATTTTTCAATATAAGTTCTCTTTAGATATCGGTAATTTATTACAACGCCATGGTTAAATTCGAAGTTTTATCTATTCAATATTGTATCTGTGTATTTTTCTTTTAAGATGCTTCTGTTGTTGTTGTTATAAATCTACAGAGTGTTTTTTGTTTGTTTTTTTTTCGTCCGTTAATTTTTATGGATCAGTAAATTGAATTAAATATACAGCAGGCTAAACATTAATAATTACGGGTCCAAAGTAAGCAACAGATTTGTGAGGGGGGCATGGTGACAGAAAACCGCTAGCTGAAACGGTAGCAAGGCATTGACTGCGGCAGGGCAGCATATTAACTAACAAGCCGGCCGCTGTTTGAAACGAAAACATGCTGAGAGATAACCTTTTGGTGTAACTATTTGCTGTTTGCTGCAGTGGACGGGACAGACCAATGGCTATTATCAATTCTGGTTCAGATTGCTGGGGATGTGAACATGTGTGTGTGTGCGCGGCTGCTGTTTTTTGTTATTCTTTTCAATAAGATCGTACTTTAGAAGACCAATACTGATTTAAATTTGTTTGTGTTTTTGTTTTTTTAAATTCGTTTTTGTTTTTAATTACGTCCAATCTGCTGTCAGAATTCAGTGCAGGCCATGTTTGTTTTTTTGGATTTCTTTGCGTTTCGAATCCCAGTAATCATTCACCGATCACCGTGAATCTATTTAAACATGTGCTGGTCTTCGAATAGCCTTTAGTTATTATTTAACCATTGATCGTTAAAGATTTCCTTATAAATCGAGAGCTTCGAACGCGAGTGAAAGAAAACAGCTATCTATATAGTGGATTGGAAAATATTAAGCTGAGAAAATGATGATGCAACGCGAAAAATCATTTGAAAAGGTTGGTGGTAAAAAGTGGAAAAAATGTGGCACTGAAGAAAGTAAAGACAAATGGAAATTTTATAAAAAAATATCAAAAATTGTTTTCGAAAATACGCTAATAAAGGCCACGAGCCTTATAAAAACGTCATAAAAATTTTGCAAAATAAAAACAAAGTAATAAAATCGAACTAGTTTTTGGTGGTGAAACAAGGTTTAATTTTAGAAAATCTAATTTTATAGCAAAATATTTGCTAAAATTTAAATATCAGGTTTATACATCGTAATCAGTGAAACTTCAGAGGAAAACATTTTTCGTGAAACTTTGATTTTTTATTTTTTTTTGTGATACTAATTTCAAGAAATTGGTTATGTATATGATATCGTATAACCTCTAAGTAGAAAATCTAGCACTGACCTTATATTTAATTAAAACCTTCCTCTGGTATTATTCGTATAAAATAGTTTCTATATATTTTAAGGTATAGAGAACATGACTGGAAGATCCACCCTCGAAGTATCTTTTGATGGTAGCAGGTACCTAATTTTTTGGTACCTTATTTTGTATACCCTTCACCACACTGTGGTACAGGGTGTTATGTTTCGAGATAGACCCATGGTCCCTTTTGAAAATATGCATAGAATCACTTTCTGAGTCGATTTATGCATGTCCGTCCGTCCGTCCATGTATTTTTGTTAACAAAGTAAAGGTCGCATTTATGTTTCGATTTGGATGAAATTTGGCACAGGTCACTTAATTGGCCCAAGTACCAACCCTATTGAAATTGCGAAAATCAGTTCAGGTTTAGATATAGCTCCCATATATATTTTCGTCCGATTTAAGGTAAATGGTGTACCAATGTCCCTATATATCTTTCGATTTGCAAGAAACTTGACACAGCGTAATGAATAGGGTCTAGAATGATGTGTGTTAAGTTTCCTGAAAATCGGTTCAATTTTGATTTAGCTCCCATATATATATATATATATATATATAAATTCGTCCGATTTAAGGTAAATGGTGTACCAAAGTCCCTATATATCTTTCGATTTGCTTGAAATTTGGCATAGCGTAATGAATTAGGTCTAGAAAGATGTGTGTTAAGTTTCCTGAAAATCGGTTCAGACTTAGATATAGCTCCCATATATATCTTCGTCCGATTTAAGGTAAATGGTGTACCAAAGTCCCTATATATCTTTTGATTGCTCGAAATTTGGCATAGCAAAATGTATTAGGTCTAGAATGATGTATGTTAAGTTTCCTGAAAATCGATTCAGATTTATATATAGCTCCCATATATATTTTCGTCCGATTTAAGGTAAATGGTGTATCAAAGTCCCTATATATCTTTCGATTTGCATGAAATTTGGAATAGCGTACTTAATTAAGTCTAGAATAGTGCACGTTAAGTTTCGTGAAAATCGGCTTGGATTGACATATAGCTCCCATATAAATTTTCGTCCGATTTAATGTAAATGGTGTACCAAAGTCCCTATACATATTTCGATTTGCACAAAATTTGACATAGTGTACTGAAATGAGTCTGAAGTGTGTGTGTAAAGTTTCCTGAAAATCGGTTCAGATTTATATATAACTCCTATATATTTTTCTTCAGATTTTATGTGAATTGTGCACTAAAGACCCATAGTTTGTACGATTGCCACACAATTTTGTACAATAAACTGTAGTTATCTGTCGACGTTTTACATATTGTATTCTAATTAGAGGAATGTGAACCTCATACGAAGCGAATAGAATTTTTGTTTCATAGTTTATCAAACATAGATAAGTTATCTTACCTTGAGTGAATGGAGTACATATTCAAATTGATTCTAATTGATCTAAACTGTAGATCTTAAAACAAAACATCTAAAATTGGCCAGATAGGTAGACCTATAATAAATTATATGCTTGTGGTGTTTTTTCTTCTGAAAACCAGAGGTGGTTATTACAGCCATTGAAATAAAAATAGTTAGTGGCTATCAAAATTCTTAAGGGGACTCCACATTCTCGATTTCAAATTTTTATGATTTTCAACCGGCTGGCAAATGGACGTCCAGTATATTAAATATTTGAATCTTTGTATATAAACACTTGAAGACTTAAAGAATAAGAAAATAAATTAACATAATTTTGTTGTTGTTTCTAGACGATTTTTTTAATAATTGAAAAGTCCTTCTTTTCAACGGCGGACATGATTTCCGATCACTGGAACGTCTGATTCCAAAATTAGGCTGGTATTATAAAAATACAATGCATAAATAAGGTTTCGTCAAAAAATGGATCTATATTTGAAATATTTTGCGGAAAATAATTCCTTTAAGGGGACCCCCCCCCCATTCTCGGGGTCAAAAATTTTTGTGATTTAATTCGATTCTACACTAATTCAAGAATGTCTCTACAAAACTTCAAGTGAAAATCTCAAGAACTCTTGAAGATATAGCCGATTTATTGTGTCAGCATTAAGTGGCGGCTAAAGGGCTTCTCAAACTTTAAACGCGTTTTTCTCTTTTGCGAATGGCGGGCACGATAACTCAAAAACTAATAACCCAATCGATTCCAAATTTTTACACGTTTTTCTGTGAGTGTATAGCTATCGTATGAACTAGGATAAAGTCAATCGGTGAAGATCTTCCTTATTTTTTAACTTGGTTTTTGGACATTTTCCAAAAATATTTTTTCAAAGGTCCGCCATTTTGTTAATTTTAGAGCGAAGTCAATAATCCTAGTTCCCACGAGAGCCAGACATGTACTCTTTCTAACACCGTTGGAATTTTCGGATTCCGATGATCCAGTGAGGAGTTATCATGCCCGCCATCAAAAATAAGGACTTTTCTTTAATTACAAAAAACAACAACAAAGCAATAACAAAATTTTTTTGTAAATTATTTATCTTCTCTTTAAAGTCTTCAAATATATATGTGCAAAGTTACAAACCTTAACAAGCATTGGTATTGATTTACCAGCCAATTGAAAATCTTGAAAAATTAAAATCGAGAATGGGTGGGGTTCCCTTAAGAAATTGGAAATATCAGCTTAAAATTTCTATTTTTATACCCTCCACCATAGTATGAAGGGTATATTAAATTTGTTTTTCCGTTTGTAACTCATCGAAATAATCCGTTATAATCAGTCCAGCGTCTAAACGAATTGAGTTAGATCGCCAAAATTTTGCACAGATTTTTTTGTCTGCAGTCAGGTTAAGTTTGAAGATGGGCTTTATCGGTCCACGTTTAGGCATAGCTTCCATATAAGTGTACCTCCCAATTTTCGGTATTTGCGTTTTCAACCGAATTTGATGTAATTTGTTGTTTTGTAGTCGTATATGGTAAAAAATCTCCCTACCAAAAATTATTAATTTGGAGTAGTCCCCATATAACACCCTTTTTGTACCTTTCACCACACGGTGGTACAGGGTATTATGTCTTTGTGCATATGTTTGTAACAGACAAAAGGAAACGAGATAGACACATGGTTCCTTTTGAGAATATGCATAAAATCACTTTCTGAGTAGATTTACGCATGTCCGTCTGTCCTTCCGCCCGTCCGTCCATGTATTTTTGTGAACAAGGTACAGGTCGCATTTATGATCCGATTTGGATGTAATTTGGCATGGGTCACTTATTTGGCCCAAGGACGAACCCTATTGAAATTGGGAAAAATCGGTTCAGATTTATATATTGCCCCATATTTAATATACCCAAAGGGGTGAAGGGTATCATATATAGTATGAAATCTAAATTTTTTTGAAACGGATATAGTCCAAAGAAACATGAGTTATAGAACCACTATTTCGATGAGGCACATTTTCACCGTGTTAAAGTGCCATAAGAGTGAGGGTATAATTATCCATTAAAAATTTCTGAAATTTGTACATTATGGTTTATTATTATTATTTATTTACAATGTTTTAATTTTTACAATATAAGTTCGCCTCAGCGCCAAATGGCTTTTTAGAGGCTAAAAAGGCAACTACTATTATTTACAATAAATAATAATTACACTATGCAAATAAATAAGCAAATTATGTAAAAAGTATTTCCAAATCTTGTAATAAGTATTCTTTCAACTTAGACTTGAATGTAGACAACGGAACTATTCCTTTAATTTCTGATGGTATACTATTATACTCATTTGGACCACTATAAGATATTCGCTGTTTTGTAGTTTCAAGACGACATCTCACAACATTTAAGTTTGTGGCTTGTCTTGTTACTCTCCCCGTCAAATATTCATTTCTTTGAAAATTAAGGACTTGTGAACTTATTCCTTGAAGAGATTTAAATACGTATAGCAATACTTGGTACTTATAAAGACCTCTTAGTGGCAAAATGGTTTTGGCGTAATCTCTATATAAATCTAATGTATGTGTCCGCAACGGAAGATTATAAACAATTTTTAAGGCTTTGTTTTGCGATACCTGCAATTGTTTAAGACACTGAGTCATCTTGTATCCGTAAATAATAGGAAGATATGTTAGATGTGAATGAACTAGGGAATGGTATATCAATAGTTTTACGTTTGTATTAAGCTTATACCTAAACTTATTAAGAATTCCAATTCCTGAAGAAATTTTGGTTTTAATCTTATGAATATGGTTATCCCAAGATAAATTCTTACTAAAGTATATTCCTAGATATTTGACAGATTCCGATTCCTCAATCAATGTACCGTCTATGTAAGCACTGAATATAGAATCATTTTTTGATGCATAAGGAGTGAATTTGACAATGGATGTTTTATTCGAATTCAGTGCAAGTTTGTTTAATCTTAAATACTCAACAAGAATTGCAGCATCATATTCAATTTCTGTTTTCAAAACCTGCGGGTAATTATAGTTATAAAATATAGCAATATCATCCGCAAACATAAAGAGTTTTCCCATAAAGGGAATGTTTTTTAGATCATTAATAACTATTTTGAATAAAACAGGACCAAGAACGCTACCTTGTGGAACACCACACCTGACATGAAGCCTACTGCTTTTCGAGTCCCCTATTTGGACAAGATGCTCCCGATTTGATAAAAAGTCTTGAAACAATGACAATGTAGTTGTCGTGCAACCAATAAATTTCAACTTCTCTATCAAAATCTTATGGTCAACCAGATCGAACGCTTTGGTTAAGTCATAAAAAACTCCAGCAACTCCTTTATATTTTTTTTTTGTGTGTTCCCTATAATTTCATTTCTAGTACTTTTTAGTATATCTATGGTGGAGGGTATCCATCTTCCATCTGTACAATTATTTATACGAGGGCTACTATATATGTTTCGGGCCTAATATTGAAACTGTGAATATTTGTCATTAGAAATGGTTTTATTTTTCTTTTAAGGGAACCCCACCCATTCTCGATTTTAATTTTTCAAGATTTTCAATGGGCTGGTAAATCAATACCAATGCTTGTTAAGGTTTGTAACTTTGCACATATATATTTGAAGATTTAAAAGAGAAGAAACATAATTTACAAAAAAATTTTGTTATTGCTTTGTTGTTGTTTATTGTAATTAAAGAAAAGTCCCTATTTTTGATGGCGGGCATGATAACTCCTCACTGGAACATCGGAATCCGAAAATTTCAACGGTGTTAGAAAGAGTACATGTCTGGCTCTCTATGAACTAGGATTATTGACTTCACACTAAAATTAACAAAATGGCGGACCTTTAAAAAATATTTTTGGAAAATCGCCGATTTTTTAACAAAAACCAAGTTAAAAAACCAGTAAGGAAAGTAGTAAAGTCGGACGGGGCCGACTATATGATACCCTTCACCACTTTGAGCATATTCAACAGATGAAATAGAAACTATATCTAAATCTGAACCGATTTCAACGATTTCAGGAAACTTAACACACATCATTCCAGACCTCATCCATAACGCAGTGCCAAATTTCGTGCAAATCGAAAGATATATAGGGACTTTGGTAGACCATTTACATTAAATCGGACGAAAATATATATAGGAGCTATATCTAAATCTGAACCGATTTTCAGGAAACTTAACACACACCATTCTATAACTAATTCATTACGCTGTGCCAACTTTGGTGCAAATCGAAAGATATATAGGGACATTGGTGCACCATTCAGATTAAATCGGATGAAAATATATATGGGAGCTATATCTAAATCTGGACCGATTTTCAGGAAACTTAACACACACCATTATATTCCTAATTGATTACGATGTGCCAACTTTCGTGCAAATCGAAAGATATATAGGGACTTTGGTGCACCATTTAAATTAAATCGGACGAAAATATATATGGGAGCTATATCTAAATCTGAACCGATTTTCAGGAAACTTAACACACATCATTCTATACCTAATTCAGTACGCTATGCCAAATTTCGTGGAAATCGTAAGATATATAGGTACTTTGGTGCCACGTTTACCTTAAATCGGACGAAAATATATATGGGAGCTATATCTAAATCTGAACCGATTTTCACGAAACTCAGCTCACACCATTATGGACCTAATTCAGTACACTATGCCAAATTTCGTGCAAATCGAATGATATATAGGTACTTTGGTGCCTATATCGGGCGAAAATATATATGGGAGCTATATCTAAATCTGACCCGATTTTCACGAAACTCAGCACACATCATTTTGGACCTCATTCAGTACGCTATGCCAAATTTCGTGCAAATCGAATGATATATAGGTACTTTGGTGCCTATATCGGGTGAAAATATATATGGGAGCTATATCTAAATCTGAACCGATTTTTCCCAATTTCAATAGGGTTCGTCCTTGGGCCAAATAAGTGACCTATGCCAAATTTCATCCAAATCGGATCAAAAATGCGACCTGTACTTTGTTCACAAAAATACATGGACGGACAGACGGACGGACGGACGGACAGACGGACGGACAGACGGACATGCGTAAATCGACTCAGAAAGTGATTCTATGCATATTCTCAAAAGGAACCATGTGCCTATCTCGTTTCCTTTTGCCTGTTACAAACATATGCACAAAGACATAATACCCTGTACCACAGTGTGGTGAAGGGTATAATAAGGAAGATCTTCACCGATTGGTTTTATCCTAGTTCATACGATAGCTATACACTCACAGAGAAAAGTGTAAAAATTTGGAATCGATTGGGTCATTAGTTTTTAAGTTATCGTGCCCGCCATTCACAAAAGAGAAAAACGCGTTTAAAGTTTGAGAAGCCCTTTAGCCGCCACTTGATGCTGACACAATAAATCGGCTATATCTTCAAGAGTTCTTGAGATTTTCACTTGAAAATTTGGAGATACATTCTTGAATTAGTGTAGAATCGAATTAAATCAAAAACAATTTTGACCCCGAGAATGGGGGGGGTCCCCTTAAGTATTCTCCAGTGGGTCTTATACACTTTTACATGAGCTCAAAGCAATTGAAGAAACATTTTTCGCTTTCCTTCTGGCGATCAAAATCGTTGACTTTGAATTTTTCATGATGTGAGGGAATAGACCCCCTATTTGGGCGCCAAATCAATGCCATTTTGAAAATACATTCCAGCTGCTAGTATTAGTCACGATTGAATTCATAGTCTCAATATAGATTAGGCGAGTTTACTTGCGGCTAGTCTTTGTTTGCTGGAGAGACAATTTTCTGGCAATTCGTTTTGTGTATTTTGTTTGTAGTGTCAGTAATTTGAAATACCAATCAATAATATTGTCAAAAAGTAAATATTTTTGAAACCAAATTGCCTTGCATAGACGCTTGAAGCAAGTTCAAAAGAGAACGATAATAATTGCCGCAAATAAACTCGCCAAATCTAAATCAGGACATATATCCAGTTTTTTTACATTTCAGTTAACCCATACTGAGTACAATGTAAAACTATCCTATGGAAACATCGGATGGCACCAGAAATATATATTGGGGCCCTTGTACATTGAATCACAGTGAAGTGTATAAGAAGTCACTTATCTGTTGTACAAGAATATTAACATTTGTGTTATTGATTGGCTATCGAACATATTGAATAGTACAATTATAATAAACAATTACATTTAATATCTTAATTTGATTGTTTAATTTGCATTTTAAACATCGTCAATTGTTTTAGACTGAACAATGTATTGATCAACTTCTCTTCAGACGCATATGTAAAATTCAATTAGAAGTAATTAATACATATGAAATTTAAAATAGATATCAATACTTGTTCATAGAATTATTGATGTACAGAGTTTCAGATTCGTATCCCGAATAAATCAATTTTAAAAATATTCTATGAAATACAACTGCAAAATATCCCATTCACTGTTTATAATATAATGACCAACTATGTGTGTGTATATATTTGAATAAATAATGTAGAAATAATAATTTATTTTTAATGCAGAAATTGAAAAACAATTGTAACTGTCTGTAAATGCTTGTTGTTTATTGACATCTGTCAATAATAATTTTTGTTGACATTTCTATTTTGCTGATTTTATTTAAAGCTTTGTTTTGCAATTGTTTTCCTTGTAATTGAAATACGTCTTATTCGAAAATGTCGTGATGGAAAATAAAAACAATCAAAATACAATTGTCTAATAACAAGTGATAAGAAACCCTAAGAAAGCATTACGTGGGTTGGAAACCACTAGTATTGATATATGTATGAATGTTAATTTGCATACAGTTTACTCTGCAGGGTAGATAATTTGCCAGGATTTCTACTCTTTTTTGTTTTTTCGGGTATATAATTTAACATAGGAAAATACATGATCTTATATTTCAATATATTGGAAAGTAAACATAGATCTTAGATAACAATACCATGTTTGAAAATTTTCGAAAATATCACAATTTGTTTGATATTAAAATTCAACACGATTCAACTATGAAAGATATGTGTTTAGCAATAACAAACGTGCTAAGATACTACTCGTTTTACTCTAAGTCAATATACCTGTCGGCAAAATCAACATGTTTTCATTAAACCAAATTAGCTAAAATAGAAGAACACTTGCTGCTGTGCATAAATTATTTATATATTTTATTATATTTTGTTTTATGAATATGGCGCTTAGCTAAGCCATTTGGAATAATCTCCATAAATTTGTGCTAAAAAAAATCAAGAATTTTAATACAGGCAGAAATAAACAAAGTTTTTATTTTCATAAAAAATTTGAATAATCATATTTTTGCAATTTATTTGTTATTTTTATTATTTGTGCTAATTAAAAAAATATGTATTCCAAAAAATAAAATTGAAATTTCTCGATCTGAAATAAAATGGTTTATGTGTGATAGTAACAAGAACAAAAATTTAAAAAAAGAATTTGCAAATTCAAAATTTGAAAAAAAAAATAATTTTAATTAAACAAAAATATTATTTATATGAAAATTTATTTACTGATAATTAGTCGTCATACATAACTATGCTTATGTTGACGCACACACGTGACATTAAAATATGACATCAAATTCTTATCGTCCTAACTCGAATAATCCACAAATAGTCCAAAGAGGCGTGCCAAAGAATGAATTTGCCAAAAAAATAAAAATTGACATAACCCATAATTGATAAGCGAAATTCAGTCAACCTCATATTAAAAGTATATAGCAAGCAATGCGTTAATTTTAATAAACAACATTTATGGATTTTTTTATTTAAAAGTAAACTAAGCGATAATATTAGCATGGAATTGCATGAATGATTAAGACGCAAATAAGATTTATGATAAGCCATTCGATTCAATTCCATTCCACTCCTTTGCAGCATAATTAAAACAAAATAATAATAATAAAAATAATAATGATTTTTTTCATTTGTACTGATTATTTTTTATAGCCCACCCGGATTGAGGGCACACCCTATATTGCCGAGGGTATGGAGGGCAAAGAGGCCCACAACACATGCTTGGTGTTCTCGACCAAAGATCAGAGCAGTGGTTCATTGGCCAAGTCATTGAAAATCTTCAATAAACATAATGTCAATTTGGTGCACATTGAATCTCGCTCTTCGCTGCGTGTACCCGGTTATGAATTCTTTGTTGAATGCGATGGCAAAACTGGTGGTTTGGGTGATGCTATTGCTGAGCTGAGAGAAACATGCTCTTACTTTAATATCATCTCCCGGGATTACAAGGATAATTTGTCGGCTGTACCATGGTTTCCACGCAGAATACGTGATTTGGATCGCTTTGCCAATCAAATTTTAAGCTATGGCGCCGAATTGGATTCAGATCATCCTGGATTCACCGATCAGAAATATCGTGAAAGAAGGTAGGGAGGGGAAATATTTTTAGAAATAGCAATTTCTTTTAATTATTTATTTTTGTAGGAAATATTTTGCTGATATTGCCTATAACTACAAACATGGCCAACCTTTGCCCCATGTCGAATATACACCAGAAGAAATCGAAACTTGGGGTATTATGTTCAGACATTTGACAAAGCTATATAAGACCCATGCCTGTAAGCAATATAACCATGTCTTCCCCTTGTTGGTTGATAATTGTGGTTTCCGTGAGGACAATATTCCACAATTGGAAGATGTTTCGAATTTCCTGAAGGGTAAGTAAAGCAGCAATTGGTAAAGAATATGTATTTAATAAATTATATCTAAGATAATTTTTTAAATAGGTTGATTATTTAAGAGAATATTTTTTCAGCATTTATCGCTGACATAACATTTCTTCGAAAATTGCCGGTAAAAGAAGCGTGAACCTTTCTTTTAAAAATTAACTCAGATATAAACCTTTTTTTTTACAGAATATTTTTCAAAAATTATCTCAGAAATAAGCAAGAATTAGAGAATATTATTTGTACATATATCGGTAGATTGGAGAGATAGTTAAGCCGGAGCTAAAATCATCGATATTTTAAAGATAATTTTTTGAGACAGATCGGAGAAATTTGGGTGCATGTTTATGGAACAATTTTGCAAGTAGCCTGGAGATAAAAGGGTTGATTTTTTAAAGAATATTTTTGATGGTAGATATATATTTTCAAAGGTAAACTGGTGATACTAGCGTGGATTTGTTAAAAATTTTTTTTAAATATATTGGAGATATTCCTCTAGATTTTTTACAAAATATCTTAGAAGAGAGTTTGAAATATGGCGAAATATTTTAAAATAACATTTTTGAAGGTTGATTGGAGATACAGGTATGGGTTTGTTACAGAATAATTTAAAAGGTGGATTAGTTACTAAAGAGTGTATTGTTTAAGAACATTTTTGAAGGTAGAAGGTAGACTTAAGATATTAGAAGTTAGACTTGAGATTAATGATTTTTATACCCTACACAACTATGTTGTCAGCTTTGTGCAGCCCCAAAAGTTTGTAACGCGCCGAAATATTGGTTGATCAAGTATACCGATCGTCATATCTCGACTAGCAGAGTCGATCTAGACATGTGTGTCCGTCCGTCCGTCTGTCCATTATAATTTGTAAACACGATACAGGCCACAGTTATGGACCAATCTTCACGTAATTTTGCATGTAGGATGGGCTCTGGTCAATGAAGACCCCTATTGTTTTTGGTAACAATCGGTTAATATTTAGGGGGTGAAATGGACCAAGTACTTAATTTTTGTCGGTTTTCTAGGCTCTCCAGAGGCCGGGTTGTATGTACTCTGATGTGGGAGTTATACGTAATTAGGTCAAGGTGACCATGTGCATAGTATTAATATTACCCCATTAGAGAACGGAAATGTCGCGATGATCGCTTTGAAATGGTACATGAAGTTCCGATTATGGTCAAGGACGACGCCTATAGTTTGCGGTAAAGTTGAGATTTCATTCAGAAGGTGCAATAAACCGCTCTAGAGGCAATTATCGTCGCTCTAGAGGCAATTATTATATGCAGAACATCATATATTTTACAAGGTGAAGGGGATCTGACCAAATATTTAGAGCGGTCAGGTCGGTCAATATTCAAGATCTATAATCGGTAAAAAGTGTGCAAATATCACGAAATATTGCCCAGGCTCAGAATATAGAACTGCAGAAATTTTAGTTTTCGTGATAGTTGTGTAGGGTATCATATGGTCGGCCCTGTCCGACTATACTGCTCCGCTCACTGGTTTAAAGAATATAATGGTTTAAAGAAATTAATGGTAAACTGGAGAAATAAACGTGGATTTCATTAAGGATAATTTTGAAGAATATTTTGAGAGGTATATTGATGATTAATGGGTGTATTTTTAAGAATATTTTTGATGGTAGCCTGGAAATATAAACCTGAATTTTTGTTTAAAAAATGATTTAGACTAGAATTACAATCGGGTATTATTTAATGAATTTTTAAAGAATTTTTTTGCGGTATACTGAAGATACGTTCTACCATTGGGTCGAGCGTATATTAAAATTGCCATTCGGTTTACAAACCTCGAAATTCTTTGTCATGTCTGTATTTTGGGGAGTTTGAGCTAATTTTAAACCTAAATGACTGGTATTTAGGATTCTGATTTTTGGTATTTTGTGGATTTCGGAAATATAAACCAAGATGCTAGTCCAATTTTCATCCTGAGAGTCTGTAGTTTGATGTTTGGTTTTCTCCTGGCAGCAATTTACATATATAAAAGTCCCAGTTGTTTTAGGAATTCGGACTGAAGTTTTTACCTATTTCTTTTCTTCTAAAACTGTTGTTAATCTATAAATAAATGTATATATTTTAAATTGCCAGAAGTTTTAAGCATAATTTTTTTAATTGATAATGATTTTTAAATAATATGCCTTTTGAAAAACTTTAGCGTACATTTCTCCTGTCTGTTTTGTTTTAATTGTAGTTAGTTTATAAAGGAATATTTTTTCAATTATTTCTGAAGTGATTTACAATAGTTTAATTTACTTTTTGTAGATTGTACCGGTTTCACACTTCGTCCCGTAGCCGGCCTTTTGTCATCTCGTGATTTCCTTGCTGGCCTAGCATTCCGTGTCTTCCACTCGACACAGTATATTCGTCATCCCAGCAAGCCCATGTACACACCAGAACCCGATGTTTGTCATGAGCTGATGGGTCATGTGCCATTATTTGCCGATCCTGACTTTGCACAATTCTGTCAAGAAATTGGTCTGGCCTCGTTGGGTGCCCCTGATGATTATATTGAAAAATTGGCAACCGTAAGTCAAACTGTTTTTTTTTATTATTGTGATTTAAGAATCATATAAACATTCCGTTCTTTAAACAGATCTTTTGGTTTACCGTTGAATTTGGTCTCTGCCGTCAAGATGGTGAGCTGAAAGCCTACGGTGCCGGTTTACTATCGTCCTACGGTGAATTGCAATACTGTTTGAGTGACAAACCCCAATTGAAAGATTTCGATCCAGAAATTACCGGCACTACCAAATATCCCATTACACAATTCCAAGAAGTCTATTATGTGGCTGACAGCTTTGAAAATGCCAAAGAAAAGACTATGTAGGTTAAATTATTTAAATTTGCTTATTTTGTATATTTATAATTATTATTTTATTTCATATTTCTAGTAAATTTGCCAATTCCATTCCCCGCCCCTTCGGTGTACGCTACAATGCCTATACCCAGAGCATTGAAGTTTTGGATTCTAAACATCAAATATCGGAGCTGATGAACAACATCAATTCCGAATTCCAAATATTACAGAATGCTGTACAAAAATTGAAAATCTAATTGAAAACACAAACAACAACAACAAAAACTTATTTAAACTTTATTGCATTTCTTAGAATTAAACAATTTTTTTAATATTAAGAATTTATTTGATTTATGTTATAATTTACAACAAAACAAAAACAAAAAAACTAAAAAAAAAATAGATACAGGAATAAAAGTTAGTGTGCATATTATTTGTTTTAATGGGAATATAAAGAAATAAGGAGCAAGGAAATATAAAGGATTTTTGGTCTTCTGAAGTAATATTTGAGTAGGATAAAAATAACAAAACGAAATATATGACAGACAAGGAATGACGTGATCTGCTTCCATAAAACTTCCAGGCCCCACCGTTGGAATCTAGCAAGAAAAATACCATAATCTTGAGCAATGGACCAGAAATGTGAATCTATAACCAACTGTATTGGTATTTAAATATTGGCGGATCTGTGATTGCGCAAAATGAACAAATGAAAGAACTGTGAATCCAACCATGGCCTATAAAGCAAGTTTCAATTTGGTACAAAATTCAGCCATTCGGTGTTTTCAATGTAACAAGTTTTATAAGGCAGAATATCCGCATGTATTTCTTCACTGTCAATTCATTTACAATTTCTTTATCAACGAGTTAGCAGAGCCATGTCGTTGCAAAAATGCTCGATGCTTGAAAGCATGAGGACTCAATGGTGTCAGCACAATCCGAAGATTTTCAAACGGGCTGGAGAGAGACTTTTTGCGCGTTCTGAAGGCTGTATTTGTAAACATGCTTCAGACAGTCTTTATAGACGTGTTGAAGGGAATCTATATAGACGATTCAAGTTTTAGTGCAAAAACGTTATATACGAGCAGAATATTACTGTAAAATCTTCGAAGGACTACAGCCTTAGTTCCAGCAAAATCAAATCATGGATCTGTGACGAAAAATTTTCGTCGTAGATGTATAGAGATGGGCAGTGGGTAAATACCCAAAGGGTAAATTGGGTAAATACCCATTTGTGGGTATTTATTTGGGTATTTACTATATTGAATAGGTAATACAACATCTTACACCCTATTTCCGGATTTCTGTTATCAAATCGATTTAGAATGGATAGTTTTACGATACTTTAAAGACGTGGGTAAATACTTGGGTAAATACCCGAGTTTTTACCCAAAAAATGGGTATAAACTCATTAACTGCCGAACTACTTGACATAGGCGGCAAAAATTTTGCATACATGTTTTTAATGTCACAGCAAATATAGAAATCCGAAATGGGGTCCCTGGGTCCAAGTTTTGATATAGCCCCCATATAACCATGTCTCCCGATTTAAGGTATTTTCTGTCTATTAGAAACATTTTACAACCAAATTGGTTGTAATTTGGCGCAGAGTGTTCTTTTTGGGTACCAAATGTCCATGCAAAAATTTATGTATGTAGGTCCACGTTTACTGGTAGCCCCCATACAAAGGTACCCTATTTTGAGTATTTACCCAAAAATTGGGTATAAACTCTTTAACTGCCGAACCACTTGACATAGGCGGCCAAAATTTTGCATACATGTTTTTAATGTCAAAACAAATATAGAAATCCAAAAATGGGGTCCCTGGGTCCAAGTTTTGATATAGCACCCATATAACCGTACCTCCCGATTTTGGGTAATATCCTGGCTGGAATTTGGCACAGAGAGTTCTCTATGAGTACCAACTATCCATGCAAAAAATTGTCTACGCTGATCCACGTTTTCTGTCCTATACACCGGTCCTGATTTTGGGTATTTATATATATTTATAAACTCTTTAACAGCCGAACCAATTGACGTGTGTTTTGAAGACCCCATACAGGAAATAATGTTGATATTTGAACCATTCTGACAAAAACGACATTTCGCATGAATGTGTTGTGCACAAAGATATATCATTATACCAAATTATAACCAATTTGTCCGCAAAATGTGTCTAATATACAAAAAATACCTTAAATCAGGAGATACTGTCATATGAGGGCTATATGAAAACTTGGACTCAGGGACCCCATTTTTCATACCAGTATTTGTATTAACATAAAAACCATCTGAGCCAAATTTTGACCGGCTATGTCAAGTGGTTCGGCATTTAATGGGTTTATACCAAATTTTTGGGTAAATACTCAAAAAAGGGGTACCTTTGTATGGGGGCTACCAGTAAAGGTGGACCTACATACATAAATTTTTGCTCGGACATTTGGTACCCAAAAAGAACATTCTGTGCCAAATTACAACCAATTTGGTTGTAAAATGTGTCTAATAGGCAAAAAAATACCTTAAATCGGGAGATAGGAATATATGGGGGCTATATCAAAACTTGGACCCAGGTACCATTTTTAGATTTCTATGTTTGCTTTGAAATTAAAAACACGTATGCAAAATTTTGGCCGCCTATGTCAAGTGGTTCGGCAGTTAATGAGTTTATACCCAATTTTTGGGTAAATACTCAAAATAGGGGTACCTTTGTATGGGGGCTACCAGTAAACGTGGACTTCCATACATAAATTTTTGCATGGACATTTGGTACCCAAAAAGAACATTCTGTGCCAAGGTACAGCCAATTTGGTTGGAAAATGTGTCTAATAGACAAAAAATACCTTTAATCGGGAGATACGGTTATAGGGAGGCTATATCAAAACGTGAACCCAGGGACCCCATTTTTGGATTTCTATATTTGCTTTGACATTAAAAACATGTGTGCAAAATTTGGGTAAAAACTCGGGTATTTACCCAAGTATTTACCCAAGTATTCTTTAAAGTATCGTAAAACTATCCATTCTAAATCGATTTGATAACAGAAACCCGGAAATAGGGTGTAAGATGTTGTATTACAGATTCAATATAGTAAATACCCAAATAAATACCCGCAAATTGGTATTTACCCGGTATTTACCCACCCCTTAGGTATTTACCCGGTAAATACAATCTCTATAGATGTACTTCAGCTTTCAAGGAATACGTAATGTCAAATTACATCGCATTAGATTGGAAATGCAGATAAAATCTTCAAACGTGGAAATATTATTTTTTTTTTTCAATACCAAGGGGTAGCAGCTATGTATGATAACATTTTGGCATCTCTATCGGGATTCGTGATTTAATAGACATCGAAATAGAATTTTTTTCTTTATTTATTTATGCAAGAATCATAGGATCTCTATCTCTCATAGAATATTTCGAGTTCACACAATCGGAACGACAAATTAATCATCCACTCCACCTTATCGTGACCAACTATTTTAACTGAATGATAAATCGAGTCAGCCGTCAAACACCTGGCGTTACAATTTTGAATTTTGATATGACAATCACAATAAAGTGTGTCTGAACTAGCAACTTTTAGCGTAGACTTACTACATCAGAGCTTTTTTGTGTAGTTTCTCAATGAAACAACAGGTTGCGCTGTGTGTATATTTATTATAAAATATTCATACCCCTAGCAACACACGTGCTTTGGAAGTTGATTTATTTTTAAATATTAACGTTTTTTCAGGTTTGACCAACCATTATTATTCAATATTCAAATAATATTTTTCCTCAAAAATAATAAAAAAGCTTGTTTAACCTTACGGTCAATAACCGGTTACATTTTTACCTTTTTTAAAAAAAAAAAAAAAAAAAAAAAATGCTGTAAAATTTTTAATAATGGAGATATTTGGATCAAATTTTGAGAAATCATTCTTGAGGTATTTTCACACATAATCGAAGAAAAAATTATAAATATTTTCAATAAAAATAATTTTTAAAGTTATTACCTACGTAGATCAATAACCGTGGTACATTTGTACCCATATAAAGATAGCTCTGTAACACATTAATAAATTTAACTATCGTGAGGTTTTTTATTTTAAATTAGTCTATACGGATCTGATCTAGATGTAGGAACTCAAAATTATATATACATTAAAATAATATGTATTTAAATCCATGCATAAATGATAATCTATCTAAAACAATCATAGTAAATTTGTTATAGATTTCGAATGGGTTAGGCTTTTTTAGTTATTTTTTTATGGGATCTTATTCCTCAACCCCTCTGCAAATTTTTGTGGCCCTAGACAACATGGGGCCATCAGGACGACTCGTGGAATTCAGAAACTACCTTGGTGTTCCTTTGGTATACAGGTACAGAAACAATAATTATTGTCCGTAATTATCCAATTATTCTTCATACTGGGCCTGAAACCTTTTCTATAATCGAATTAGTCTGATTTATTACAATCCTAAATTGACGTTCATATATAATGATAACGTTTTAAATATTAAATAATGTTAAAAACGCGCCAATCACAATCTCTAAATTAATAAAATGTGGATAATTGGCAATAAAAATTGTTTTAGTCCCTGTATACCAAAGGAAAATCAAGGAAGTTTCTGATTTCCACGAGTCGCCCTGTTGTCCCCATGTTGTCTATGGCCACAAAAATTTGCAGAGGGGTTGAGGAACACCTAAATGAGATCCCAATAAAAAATAACTAAAAAAGCTTACCCCATTCGAAATCTATAACGAATTTACTATGATTATCATTTAAGCATGGATTTAAATATATATTATTTTAATGTATATATAATTTTGAGTTCCTACGTCTAGATCAGATCCGTATAGACTAACTTAAAACAAAAAACCTCACAATAGTCCAATTTTTTAATGAGTTACAGAGCTATCTTTGGATGGGTACAAATGTGCCACGGTTATTGATCTACGTATACTTTTTTGGTTATTGGCCGTAGGGTTAATTCGGGCCGTACATTTTATACCCTCCACGATTAAAATACCTAAAATCGATCGGGACATTTATATGGGAGTTATGCCAAGATAAATCACACATAAGCAGATTTATTGCCCCTAGCATAGCTTGCTTTCTTTTGATGGTAACTTAATTTGAAGATAAGGTCAATGGACTCACTCTTTTCGCTAACATGTATACTACAGATGTTATGGGCTGAGGGTATATATTTGTAGGCAAAATCGACTGACACTTTATAATGAAGTGTATTTTTTTTTAATAAATCCTCATTCTTTATTGCAGGGTACTGCATGTGTA